CCCTAAATTACTGTGAGTCATGGCCGAAGATGTCTTAACCGCCGGGGAAGTGCCGTCGACAACGTACAATTGTTCACGCATTGTACCACCTTTTAAGCGAATTGTGTCCACTATCACATCACGGTATCGTTCGGTTGGTGGTAAATCAACTCGCTGTCCATCTTCGTCCATGATTTGCAGACGAATAGCCTGCATTCGCCTTAAAAAAGCAATCTGTTCACATAGATAGTCAACAAAATTTTGATATGACATGCACATAAACTCGCCTTCTTTATTTAACATAGATGGGAACAATTCTGTCCTCCATGTAATAAGTAAAATGTAGCTTGAAAAGATATTCAGCCATTGTCCAAAGAGCGTTGTAATAAATCAGCAATGCTGGTCAGGATTCACACTGTTCACTCTAAAAAAACGACTCGGAAATGTCTTGTGCAAACAATAAAAGACAGAATGGCGCCTCGGAGACTCAGACATGTATACATTGTATCAAAAATGTTTAGGCTACAGTTATAATGTTTTGATTAGTAGGGATAAAATCAGTGGCAATTTTATTAGGTACTTGCTCTGATGTATCAACATTTACCACAATCTGATCGTCCAATGTTTAGTGAAAACGATTGTAAAAGATGTGTCAGACGCTCAACTTTATGACGATGTAACAAGATCATGAAAAAGCCAATGAACTAACAAGTATAACTCGCTCAACTAACTGATCGAATTATGTGTCATTCACACGTATTTTGACTGATTTTAATATAGGTCAACACATTCATTCTATCAAAACAATGGCACATATAAGCCCAATACCGTGTGTTGACATCATACCATGATGTAATAAAACTTGTTCTTCCGCGTAGACGTGATGCAACGCCGTGTTTTAAAACCGCGAAAGTCTGTCATAATCCAACACTGAGCAGATTGTTCCATAAAGAAACACTTACCAGTGGTATCCACCTGTGGGAGAGGGGCATATGGTTGCTGTGGCGATGAGTTGTTGTCTTCATTTTGTAACAGTGGAGCGTTTTCCTCTTCTCGATCCGCCATTTTGGATCGGAAAATTGAATATAGGGAGATAGGGGGGGGTCATGTGAGGTAATCACGTGACATATGATAGATCTGCGCTCACATCACCGTACACGGCGCTGTACTATTGATTTAGGGGTCGACCATTTAATAGCATACTGAATGGCTGAAAGATTTGCTAAAAAAAAAAATGCAATCTAGACACTAACTGAAAAAAATGCATGCATGGTGGTACGGGGAGGGAGATGTTGTCATATTCAATAAAAATAAAAATAGATAAGACACCTCGAAAAAATGCGCTTGACTCACAACTTTCAAGTTAACCACCCCATGACGATTTCAATGGCCTACCCCTTTATAACAAGACAGACGTTACTTAAACGATTGGAAGTTTTTCTACATTTTAACCAGCTTTACTAAATTTTAACTATTGTATCGGAATAAAATTATTTAAAAAGGAGAGTGGTCGTCACGACGCGTCGAGTTTTATATGGTTCCCCGCAACGTTGTATACACGTATGTGAAACAAATTTTTCACGTGAAATTCGATTAATGCAAGATGTTTACAAATACACGCGATGTCTTCTTCTGGAAGGTGGGATGATGAGAAACAATTTCTTAAAAAGTTTTAAAAAAGATTTTGTGACAATGCACTGTATACCGTAGTGGCATATATCGGTAGTTGGTTCAATAAAAATAATACATTGTGTGATCGTGACATTTGCCAGTTAATAACCCACTTTCTGTACATTAAACGCTACTACCCGTTATGCACAAACAGTGTATGCTCTCTTCCTTGAAAAACATTCTCAGCTACAGTCAACAATTTTGTACATTTTATTTTACTTTAATCGCTATGAAATTAAGATCTTAAATATCAAATATATGTGCTGTATAATGGAGCAGACTTGACCAAGTTTATTTTAAGTTATCTGGCTTCATTCTCGTTTGATTCTAAATAGAATATTATTTCACATATATTTGACCATTTGAAAATCGGGTTTCGTGAAAAAAAAATTGTTGATGCAAACAACTGTTTTGGAAAAGTTAGGCGAAAAAGTTTGCATTGTGTATTTAAAGTTCTATAAAAGTGACAGACACAAATTAAGTCTATTCTCACAATAACAGCGTGAACAGTACAAATAGATGATCAAATGTTTTGTTAAGCGCGCCTACCAGCCCTGGTGTTGAAAACAATTAACATATTTTGTACGTTATGCATAGAATGAATGTTCCAGTAAAAGACACGGTTTGTGTGATCATTGATATAAATGGAGCACCTACAAACTTGAAGTCATGTTATTTCTGTAAAACATATGTACCTAATTACTGAATGACTAGACAAAACGAACACATACGTGAATAATTAAATGAACAGAATGTCTGTACTGTATACGTGTGTGTGTGTGTAAACGTACCCTGTCCACTTGTAAATCGTCAGATGTTCATTGTACTTTGTTGATATCTCCATACGACTATTGAGTTTAGATTAACGGATGGGCATGTCAATGCTTCACATTTTTTATACAAAACAATACCATGCAAAAAATCGCGAAATTCATCAGAATGTGATTTACAGAAATTTATCAATCGTCGCTACCAAATCCACCACTGACAGAGTTGACTGTATAACTAGATCTGACTGAAACAATTCATTCCTGAGTTTGGTACTATTTTCTATGCAATAGTAAATTCTGATTGACGCTATCTTGTATGAAACTATCATTTATCGTATTCCCATTTATTCGTTCAGTTTTTATGGAAACTGACTGTATATGATCACCCAGACACTTTAATTGCAGAAATATGTTATCCCATAACTCTCCATTCTTCTTTATTACCTCATCGAAATTTTGACTTATTTTAATAATTTCTTTTTCTTTTGTAATGGCAATAACCTCTGGACATTGTTGCAAAGAATCGTCACATTTTTAATTTAATAAGAGGCCTATTGCAACAATGCAGTCTGAATTCTAATTCATGTTTATCAACGTGCGAGTCCGGCCAGGTTTAAACAAAACAGGCACCGTAGACAGCATATGTACTACATGTATTTGCTGTACACAACATTTCAATTCTAGAATACATTAATTTAATTACCATAGGACCTGAAAAAATACCCTGAGTGACTAAGTCAACATTCTTTTTCTGTTGACCGGGGATATTTGGAATTGAAATTAGTTTTACTTTACAATCATCAGCATCTTCTTTGCCTGGGTCTGTAAAACCCAACAGTAGATAGGAAACATGGATATTTTGTAAGATTGGCTATAGACCAGCCTTTGTTGACGCCCAATCATCACTCATAAATAAATAATTGGTAATACGTGGTATTCGTTGCTGTACTTTATGATTCATTGTCTTTATAAAACGAGTAGAACCTCAGTTTTAGAAAATTATAGACAACTATTTTCAATATAATGTTTTGTACTATAAATAATGTTTAATTTTTATTGTTTTATATAATCATATCCCGGTAGTTGAGGCGACCGACATACGAACTTTATAACGGCAAATAAAACCCAAAAAAATAAATAAAACTAAACAAATTTAAAAATTGGGCTTATACCTACATCGGATTTCAATTAGAATGAGTATAAATTAAATGAATGAAAGCAAGAACACGAAGAACGAATAAGGATTGGGAATATGACGAATAGTCCGAGGGAAAACTTGAACTGCAATGATTATCACTATTACGAATTAAATAAATTGCCCCCACCGGTGCAATTCGTTAAACCTCTTCTAATATTCAGCATACTAGTATGCTTCACTTTTCAGCGGGTGTCATGACAATGCATTCAACGGTTGCAATTTCTCTAGCGTCATTCAGGAAAAAATCACAACAATTGTTGGAAACACTTTGACAATAAGAAAATAATCACATAGCGTTTTACTGTCGTTTGGGTTGGTGACATCAAATTTCACGATGCTGTCTCTATCAGTTAATGTCAATGTTCCTCTGCGTCGCTGAGATAACCCATATGCCTATATGTGTTCTGTATATGTATTATGTATAGCTGTATGAAGACGATCTTTTTCCTTTTCCAGTCTATCCAATGTATATAATATATCTCTTCATTTAGTAACTTAAGGTAGAGATGCAGGTTGGGAGACTATATTTCTAATTGCCTCTAATTACTGTAATTACATGAGTAAAATATCCTTTTTACCAATCAAGTTATATATCATTTGAAAGAGTTTTATTTAAACTTTTGAGTTTTATGGTTTACAATAATGTACTATGATACCATATTAAGTGGTGTTGATTTTAGGTTAAAATCATGCATTTTAGGTGAAAGTGCACTTAAAA